CCAGGAAGACCAAAGGAAAGTCTCCTAAGGTGTTATCGCCATGGGAAGGCCCATATGGCATAGTGGATCGTCTCTCAGACGTGACTTTCCGGGTAAAATGTGGTCGGCGAGGTAAACCAAAAGTGGTGCATGCCAACAGGCTTTGGCGTTATCACGGTCCAGGACATTTCAGTTGGGACAAAGTGAACAAAGGAACAAATGACGCTGCTGAAGACGTGACACCTGAAGAAGCCACCGTCGAAGAAGAAACTACTCAGTTTTGAGAAAGGAAACAGTGAAGCTCTTGATGAAGTTACTACCACTGATGTGACTGTTACCGATGATAGGACATTTCCTGATGAAGTAGATAAACCCCACGTGAAGCAGAAGCCAACGAGACGGAGACCAGTACGGAAGAAGATACGTCCCGTAAAATTAAGAGACTTTGTTGAATTGTAATTTTGTGTCTGTAATTATGTAAAGTTAATTAAGTTATTGTTAATTGTTATTGGTTTATTATAAGTAGCAATTGTTCAAGACGAACAATACTAAGGAGGGGCAGTGTTGCGTCATCGAGGTCACGTGTGGCGCCACCTATTTTCTAGAACTATCCTGTACCTTGGCGAATGCTCCAGTATTTACTAGATATAGGGTAGTCTGGTATATAAAAGAGGGTGACAACGGGAAGAATGATGTAATGTGTGTGTGTAGATAGTGAGTAATTGAACTGCAGTCAGAAGTATTGTTGACGTTCGTTGATATAGCGTTTGTTTTAGCGTATTTTGTTGAAAATAAGTGTATCGTAAAGTTGTATTCGGAAAGAATAAACCAGTTTTATTAAGTAAAGACTTGTGTCGCTAAAGTTTCGTCGGAACGAAGTTACGGGAAGTTAATTAACAAACGGAGACGTAACAGTATGTTCTTTTTTTTTTTTGACACAACAGAAAACATTCAGTTATAATTAAACATGCATATGATTCTCCCCCTTTTTTACCTTATTGCATACACCAAATACTTTCTGGGTTTATTTTCGTTTTGATAGCTTTGTCCCATGTATATTAAGCTTAATTTTATAAAAATATTAGTTTATCATTCTTCCCAGATTGCGAGCATCCTCATTAGAGACGACTGTTCTACTTACATTAAATACATAAGTCAGAATTACGTTTTAGCATCAAATCATAAATAGACTCTTTGTAAGTCTTTAATACGTGATCACTGGGTAAAACTTACTCTAACATGATATTTTATTTTTTACGATACCTCTAACGTAGGTACAGGATTATTTCCTTTACTTATAAACAAAAATATAAAGTCTTCTTTCCAGAGAGAGATAATGTAACCTACTTTGCAATTTTCCTGTATAACTGAATCAGTTTTCGATGTTCTCCAATAATGCGGTAGGTGTCTTCATGAAGTTTAACCACCATAAAGTAAATTGGTGTATTGGGATCCGTTGGATTAAGATACAATTCACTTGCACCTAAATAAGGAATATGATACCAAAATATGTCAGCAGTTTCCAGCTATGATGGATATGAATCATAACACACTTACCATTATAGTTAATATTCCAAATTTAGCCTCATACTGTAGTGTCTGTACCAGAAGCCAATGCAGATTGAATCCGCCATCATATGAACAACTTGGATTAATATAATTCTTTTTGGAAACTTGTCTAAGTTCATAAATATATAAACATAGTTCGAAACGACCATCTTTTTAATTTACACGATAAAGATAATTTTACTTGAGACTGAATACACTCGACATGTTTCGAAGATCTTCAAGAGGAATAAGATCACAAGAATTACCGTTCTCTATGATCATGCCACCACATCAACAATAAGACTACAAGAATTACCGTTCTCTATGATCATGCCACCACATCAACAATAAGACTACAAGAATTACCTTTCTCTATGATCATGCCACCACACCAACAATAAGACTACAAGAATTACCGTTCTCTATGATCATGCCACCACATCAACAATAAGATTACAACAATTACCTTTCTCTATGATCATGCCACCACATCAACAATAAGATCACAAGAATTACCTTCTCTATGATCATGCCACCACATCAACAATAAGATTACAACAATTACCTTTCTACATGATCATGCCACCACATCAACAAATACAAGAATTACCTTTCTCTATGATCATGCCACCACATCAACAATAAGATTACAAAAATTACCTTTCTCTATGATGATGCCACCATATCAACAATAAGATTACAAAAATTACCTTTCTCTATGATCATGCCACCACATCAACAATAAGACTACAAGAATTACCTTTCTACATGATCATGCCACCACATCAACAAAATACAAGAATTACCTTTCTCTATGATCATGCCACCACATCAACAATAAGGTTACAAGAATTACCTTTCTCTATGATCATGCCACCACATCAACAATAAGATTACAAGAATTACCTTTCTACATGATCACGCCACCACATCAACAATCGGATCATACAAAAAACTCAGAATATAACAGCCCTTTTATTTTCACGTATATGGAGCTTTAAAATTCTTTTCTGAATAAAAATTACGTAACGAAACATTATTGTTGAAACATGTAACAGTTGATATATATTATTGATAGAGCAGTGAAGAAACCTATGAAACAGACGTGTCGTAACAATGTGGTTAGTGTAGCTAAAAAAAGCAAGAAAAGAAAGTTGATTTCACCCTTCTTCCTGGTTTATCCTCTAAATTTCGCAGCATTTTTAAAAACCAACGAAGTTTTATCCTATATAAAATAAGATTAAGATAAATAAGATGAATCAGTTATTAAATTTAACTAAGGACAAAGTGAATCTACTGAAACAAAAAAAAGGGTATTTACAAAATAATTTGTGAATGTGAAAGCATATATATTGGTCAGACTAAAAGGAACCCAAAATACAAAGTGAATGAACATAGACGAAATGTAAAAACAAAAATAGACATTTCACCATTAGCCTGACATGTTAGTGTGAAACAGCACACGATCCAATGGGAGTTATTAACTCAATCTAGCCCCCCAGGTACACAGCGGTATGTCTGCGGACTTACAACGCTAGAATCCGGGTTTCAATACCCTTGTTGGACAGAGCACATATAGCCCATTGTGTAGCTTTGTGCTTAATTATAAACCAACAAACAAACAATACAAAAATAAATTGTAACTTATGTCACGTTTTGTAGGCCGGATTCTTTACAGTAGGTGTCTGTGACTTGTTGGCAATAAATTTCAACAATATTTAGACAGCACACAATCCACCTGTTTTAAAATAATATATTCAAAATATGTCAAACATGTGTACAAAAATTCGCAACCAGAACTACAAATAATTGTCCTTTTTTTCGTCAACATCCACAAACGCGGGTTCAATAACTTTATATTAGAACACCCTTTAACAAGTTAAATTATTCTCCTCTATCTCTGTTATTACTATACAGTCTACGATTATAACACTTTAAAAGTCGCACTATTCACCCTTTATGACAAAACTTACAAACACAATCTAGATCTCTATCTTACTAGCTTTGTCATATTTTGACTTCCACTAACTTGGTCGACTATATATATATATATATATATATTACCCGACTGAGGCCTATAAATTTATACAAAATAATGAGACGTTATGATGTAACAATACTCACTTAAAGCGACGAAAAAAATTCAGAAGGTTCAATTCAATCCAATTGAACTACGCAACAAATGATTCGTAAAAAGTTACGTAAGCAAACTTGCCATAACTATCGCCTCTAAAAATACTAAATTTAACACTTTATAGCTATCTAAAACATAACTCTCATATTAAATTTAAATGAAACATTCGTGTGTATCTAACATCTTAGAATTTCGATCTGGTGGAGTGATCTTGTCTACCCATGCTGGTGCATATGTCAAACTCAATATGATTGTTCTTTATTTCAACATCAGACACCTAGAGGAAACCCACCAATTAACTGAAAATATAAGAAGTCAATCAACCAAAATACATTAAAAACAAAACATGACAAGGAGGAAAAATCAACAATATGCCAAGTATGCTTTAGAACAAAAACGATCACAATTATAGCGATATTGTAGATTTTTCACGTGTATCAGAATTCTTAATATTCTATAATACAATATAAGGGAGAAGTAGCCCATCTGCGTCGTTGTAGTTTTTATTTGAAAATTGTTTTTATAATTATCTAATTAGAAGAAGTAAGTGTATCTCTTTAAATTAATGAATATGATTATTTCACTTTTCAAACTAACGCTTTATTAAGGTGGAAAAAAGAGACACGTATTATTGGATCTGAAAATAATAATAGTTACCATATTGACTGATAGAGCACGTTATTAAAACCCAGGTATCATAATTGGAATCCTTCCAAATTGGTGTACACCCAGCAGCAGCAGATTCATCGTGTACTAACACCCACAGCAGACCACCATCGTATGATTGCAAATCGGTTCCCGCTGCTGTTACCAGAAATAGCGAAAAGATTCTAAACAAATAAGAGAAAAGAAAGACAAAACTTAAGTTGTTAATTCACACGCCCTCTTAGCAACAATAGTCACGTGGGTTAGCGTGCCCACTTAGCAACAATGGTCACATGGATTAACCTACCCTCGTAGCAACAATAGTCACGTGAATTCACATGCCCTCTTAGCAACGATAGCCACGTAGGTTAGCGTGCCAACTTAGCATCAGTAGTTACGTGGATTAACCTACTCTCTTAGCAACGATAGTCACGTGAAATCACACGCCCTCTTAGCAACAATAGTCACGTGGGTTAGCGTGCCCACTTAGCAACTATGGTCACATGGATTAACCTACCCTCGTAGCAACAATAGTCACGTGAATTCACATGCCCTCTTAGCAACAATAGTCAGTGGGTTAGCGTGCCCACTTAGCAACAATAGTCAGTGGGTTAGCGTGCCCACTTAGCAACACTAGCTCCGTGGATTAACCTACCCTCGTAGCAACAATAGTCACGTGGATTAGCAATGAAAGTCATATTTCAAACTTGTGAGAGTTCAAATCGGCCTTTACCAGTTAGTATTTCAAGAAAAAAACCACGTGACTATCGTTGCTAAGAGATAGGTTAATCCACGTAACTACTGATGCTAAGTTGGCACGCTAACCCACGTGGCTATCGTTGCTAAGAGTAATTCCTCGCGTGAACGATACACAATCTCTGAAAAAGTATATAACTCGTTCTTAATTCTACTTTGTTAAACTCTGAAAGCTGGCGAAAGAATGGAACCAGTAGCTCTATTTGTAACAAAAATCAAGAAATGCTTCAATTATTTTATCTTTGGTCCCATTCCTCTCAATTAATCCATTACGAATTTCAAATAAGCACTAGCATTTTAGATCTGAAATCTGTAACGGACTAGCTGAGTTTGTTTGTTGTGAGATTTGTGCAAAGCTACTCGAAGGCTATCAGCACTAGACGTCCCTAATTTTGGAGAGTAAGACTACGGTGCAGACAAGTAGTGAACACCACCCGCTCTTGTACAGCTATTCGAAGGCTATCAGCACTAGACGTCCCTAATTTTGGAGAGTAAGACTATGGTGCAGACAAGTAGTGAACACCACCCGCTCTTGTACAGCTACTCGAAGGCTATCAGCACTAGACGTCCCTAATTTTGGAGAGTGAGACTACGGTGCAGACAAGTAGTGAACACCACCCGCTCTTGTACAGCTACTCGAAGGCTATCAGCACTAGACGTCCCTAATTTTGGAGAGTAAGACTACGGTGCAGACAAGGTAGTGAACACCACCCGCTCTTGTACAGCTACTCGAAGGCTATCAGCACTAGACGTCCCTAATTTTGGAGAGTAAGACTACGGTGCAGACAAGTAGTGAACACCACCCGCTCTTGTACTACTCTTTACCAAAGAACAGAGAAAATGGTCGGCATATTATAACGCCCCCACAACTGAAAAAAAAAAACGAACATATTCGGCGACAGATTTCGATCCCGCGACCTCCAGATTGTGAATCGAATGCTCTAATCACTAGGCTATGTCGATTGATTAATAGGAATATGAAAAAGAAAACTCAGTGCAACGTTATTTGTATCAAAATTTTAGTAGTATGACCTAAATTTTTAGGGTCAGATACCCTCGGAGTCATTGATATTCTTCCCTAATTCTGAACTACTGACCAGAGAGGTGCAGACAGAAACAATCAGATCTGAAACCTTGAATTCAGACATAGCCGTCCCCAAACTAGTGAGCAGAGAGATGCAGCCTTAAACGTTCAGATCAGAAACCCTAGGATTCAGGTATAGCCGTTCCTAATTCTGCTCTACTGACGAAGGATGGTAGGTGGTAGGGTGCTGTTAACGGTCTTCTTTTCGTCTGATCAGTAGTTAAAATTTAGGGACAGCGGAAAATAGGATACCCTTAGTTGTTTTGGTGTAAATATGGCGTAAATATCAATCGTAGACTTCACAGGACCAGGCGTGTAGTCGTGTAGGTGTACTTATTTGGAATACGCCAGTAGGTAGGTACAAGTTCTATTTATATAAATTAAACAATCGATATTCAAAGCACAGTTTACCATCAGTTTTTATTTGCCTAGTGTAGATCAGAGGGTTCATAGTTCGCGGCTCGTTACTGAGAAGTCGCACCCCCGCACTTATGAGCCTACTATTCGATTAGAGTAGCCCAATAGATGGCGGTGTGTGGTGGTGACTAGCTGCCTCCAATCTAGTCTATAGAACTAGTAGTTGGAACACCTTCCTATGGCTTCAAGTAGAGGAGTGTTGCGCACCTGCTAGTTTATCAACATGTTTTAACATAAAAACAGTGAGAGCTTAAGGAATCATAACGCTAAAATCTGGGGTTCGAGGACCAACGGTGGACAGAGCGCTGATAGCCCATTGCGTATCTTGACGCTAAAACAGCAACAGTAACAATTGTTTCGTCTCTTGATACCTCAGCGGTTTACGACGATAGAATTCTAGGTTCGATTCCTGCTTTCCGATGAGCTGAAATGACTTATATAATCACACTAATGTATAAATAACTCATTTTAATAACATCTGTACTATATATTAACAACATCTGTACTATATATATACTATGTGTTTTATGTTTTAACCAATTATTCATGGCTCCAAATAAGAAAATATCTTTCTTACCCCAAAAATAGTTTAGTTCTAAATCGACGAGCAGCAGACAAGAAGCCTACTTTTTTAAGTTTCATTTTGACTCTCAACGCAAGTCTAGGTTCTTCTACTGAAGTCAGATTTCTGAAAATTCAAAGCATTATTGCGAGGTTGTTTTTTTTTTTTTCAGCCGACTTTGCGGAATAAATAAGTGACGTTGATATTTTCATTTGAAATGAGATTTTATTGGTTATGAAAATACTGGACATACCAAAGAAGTAATCAGTGTATTACGTTATTTTAAATTAGGCAATACTGCTGAGTTAATATTTACGAATTTTTGAAAATAAGCTGACTCGGTGCTGTTACAACAAATTCATAACTAATGTATTTTTTTTTCAAGTACTTTTATAATATGAATGTTTTAAAATATCACTTGACACCATAGCCTTAACTGACCATAATCAGAAAAAAAAGGGCATGTCCATAACATCTTTTTTTTCCCCAAACATTATCACAAAATGAAATTTTTTAGAGGCTCTGATGTTCATGTACAACGTATCAATAAATCATAGTTTTCTAGGGCCCTCCAGTGGCGCAGTGGTATGTCTGTGGACTTACAACGCTAGAATCCGGGTTTCGATACCCGTGGTGGGCAGAGCGCAGATAGCCCTTTGTGTAGCTTTGTGCTTAACTTCAAACAAACAAACAAGTTCTCTAGGTGCTGCCCCCCAGCGGCACAGCGGTATGTCTGCGGACTTACAACGCTAGAATCCGGGTTTCGATACCCGTGGTGGGCAGAGCACAGATAGCCCATTGTGTAGCTTTGTGCTTAATTACAAACAAACTCAATCTAATATTCGAGCTAAGTTACTGAGGGCTATCTATCTGTGGTATCAGTTTCGAATTTTGAGCTGATAGACTAGGGGGAAGTCAGTTAGTCAAGAGTACCCAATTTCACTGTTATGTTTTCTTTTTTATATATAACGCACCCATACCCTTTAGGATGTGGAGCGCAATTCTGTGGCAACAGAACTCGAACCAGGAACCTTCAAATTTATATTCCGACATTCCAAGTCCGGTATAATAATGACTGAAAATTGTAAAATCATAACAAATGTATAACTTATGTAACTATTGCCAAGACTACCACGAGAGGTCTTTTTTTTATTTCTGAATTTGCCCTCAAAGCTACCCAATTGGTTATCTTTTCCTAACCATCTGTAATTTTTGAATTAATAGACTTGATGGAAGCAGTTAATCAACATTAGCCACCGTCTACTCCTGGGCTACTACTGTCTGATCGAATAATATTTCAACGTTACTGTTAAGTGAACCCAAGGCCCCAAAGTTCAGAGCACGTTTTTGTGACGAGTCCCGCGAACTATGAATCCTCAAATACACAGTCCGAGCACGCGAACTACTAGGCTATACCCGGCCGAAAATGTAAGTTTTATATGCACTAATTGAATTAAGGTTATTTAATTGACATCAAAAGTTACATAGTTACATTTTTTTTTCATTAGAGACAAGGGTTAGCAACATGAAAACAATGGAATGGAAACCGTTTTGTCTTTTGTTGAATGTGTCCCTAACGTTTTCCATCA